CCTCCACCTCTTTCCCTGCCTTCATCTTGCCACCTGCCTCTCTGTCTCCATTCTCTGGAGGCCAGAGTAGTCTCTGGCCTGTGTGAGGCTTCTCTCACCTGGCTGCCCCTTTGTCTGAGTCCAGATTGTTAATAGTCAGGTGTGTTCGTCCCACTGCCCACTCCATCACCTACATGCACACCTGTGGGCTTGGGGTAGTGGGGTCCATGGACCAGAATGCAGGATTTTAGAGCTGCCATTTCTCAAGCTTCTCTGATGTGCCTGGCACACTGATAAGCATTTTAGGTACATTATTTAATCACCACCTGCATCTTGTGGCATAGGATTATATATATTTTCATGTGAGGACAGTGGCTCAGAGAGATCGAAATTTGGCCCATGGTTACATAGTTTCAAAAGGGCACAGAGATACATCGAGGGACTAGAGAGGCCCCTGAGGAAAGGACTTTGGATTTCCACAAAGTCCGGAGTTGGTCACAAGCTCAGCCTGGCTTTTCCCACTTCACCCTGTGGTCTCAGATGTGCCAGACCCATGATGAGTCCCCTCAGATACATAGAGGCACTCTGCTAGACACGGAGTAAACCAGGATCTGGATTCTCTCTGCTTACACACCTAGCCAGAATTTGAACCCAGGCCTCCCATCAGAGGCTGAATTCTTAAACTACTAAAGCATGCATTGCCAAAGAACCAAAAACGTGTAGATCTTTCTACATTGACTGGGGCTGAGTTTCCCTTTGGGAAAACTCTCCCTGCCCTACAACAGCTCTGTGAGGAGGCAAGAACAAACTGGGGTGCTAGGTACTTCTGCAGGGTCCAAGGTAGGCAGTGTGGCTCCTTGAGCCTGGGGCCTGAATCTCAGAAGTGATGCCCTAGGCCAGCACCCAGCCATGTGGATGGGTACATAGTCCTTGTCTCCAGGGAGCTCTAGGCCTTTTGGACAGAAGTGCCACTTTGGGTGCCAAGGCAGCCAACCATTCCTATGGGGTGGGAACCCCTGATGGTCTCCAAAGGTAGCTCTGTTTCACCTGCTCTGAGCTGGCTGCTCTTGCATCAGCATCTTCCAGGTTCTAACCCACACTCTTCTGGTCTCCTTCGGGATCTCGTCCCGTCAGTTTTTCCCTCTGTAGGTCTCTTCTCTCCACCAGGTGACTTAAGGTTTTTGTCTCAGATGGTCCCTGAAGCTCTCAACCCATCCCCCCACCACTGTTCTCTGAAGGATGCCAAAGTTACCCACTACTTTTCAGATCTCCTGTGTGGTGCTGCACTAGTGGCTGACCTTTTGTACAGGGTACCAGCTCTCCATGGTCCCCACATGTTCTGGTACTTCCTGTTACTGGGGCCAAGTGTCAGGTTTCCTTCATCAAGGAGCTTTCCAGGTTGTTCTTACACTAGCCTACATCATTCATTTCCATTCCCTTTGGAGTGCCCGAATCTAATCAGACCAGTTGGTGTTTGCATTTCCTCTCCAGCAGCAATGGGAAGAAGATGGGCCCTGTCCTGTAGGGGTCCCAGGAGGTTGAGGTCCCTTTATGAGCCTGGTCTGGGGTCTGTCCCTATTGCAGACAGGCTCTAGGAGGTCCCGTGACTTTGGAGAAGTGATTTATGTCCAAGAATAAATCCTTTTCTCTCACACAAGAATCCTCTGATGCCAGGAGTCCTAACAGCTAGAAACAAAGGCCTGTGAAGATTCGCTCTGATTTTGGGGGTGCATCACAGGGTAGGTCCTCAGAAAGCATCCTTCACGTGCTAGCGGAATGCTGTAGAGCAAAAGAATGAATAAAGCAAGGTCACTCCTAAGCTGGACCTTGAAAGGTGAATAGAAGTGATTTCTGCAACTGAGAAAATCACTCAGTTTTGACCTTCCAACCACCATCACCACACGTACCTGTACCCCCAATGGAATATTAGAGGCGGGGGGAGGGGGAACTGGGAGGCGGGGAGCCCAAGTGACCCACCTGCTGGCACTGAGGCTGAGGGGAGCAGGGGTCTGGGGCTCCGGGCTTCTGGAGATGAATGGGGGTAGGGGTGTTGATGGGGTTCTGAGAGGCTAGGGAGGGTCTGAGAGGCTAGGGGTGGCTTGGAGGAAGAGTGCAGTGCTCTGAGAAGTTAAGACTCTGAGATGCGTAGGTCCCTGAGGAGTGGGATGCTCTGAGACATGGGAGCCTATGAGGAAGAGTGGGGGCTGTGGGGGGATTGGCTCTGAGAAGTGAGGTCCCTGAGGAGTGGGGACTCTTGAGATGTGCGGGCTCTCTGAGAAGGGAGCGCTCTAAGGACGTGTGCGGTGTAAAGTGTCTCAGAGTAGGAACGGTTGAGGGAGGTGGAGATGTGGGAGATGGGGTTTCTGAAGCAGAGCAAAGCCGGCCTTGCCCTCTCCGGCTGGAGGAGGGTAGGGGTAGAAAGCGCCGTTGCCTCAGCAACCCCCAACAGGGTCCTAGGCAGGAGGGGCTGTTAGGGGCCTGCCTGTGGGCGAGGCACAGCGGCCCGCTCGGCGGCGGTTGGCTGACGGAGATGGTAGGGCGTGTCCCTGGGCGGGGCGCGGTCGCCTGGCTGGCGGCGGTTGGCCGTGGGCGGAGGGGGGCGGGGCCCGGGGCGCGCGTGGTGCGCGCACAGACGGCGGCGGTTGGCTACGACGTCCGCGCGAGCTCTCCAGGCTCGGCTGCTCCTTGGTTGAGCGCTCGCCAGGCCTCGCCGCTCATGGGCGCCCCGTGCTGCCGCCCCCCTGCCCCGCGCCGCTCACCGCCCCGGCCCCCACCGGGCTCCGACACGGACGACGTCCTGCAGATCATGGCCATCACCGACCAGAGCCTGGACGAGGCGCAGGCCAGGTGCTGGCGCGGGCTCGGCGGGGGCCACCCAAAGTCGCTTCAGTGAAGGGGGCGGGTCGAGGGGCCAGGGCCGGGGCGGCTGGGGGCGTGAGGGGTGAGGAGGGTGCAGGGTGAGAGATAGGGTGGTGAGTCTGGGCGGAGAGGGAGAGGGCAGATCGGGGGCGGGGGGTTTGAGGAGGACTGAAGCGGGGTTCTGAGGCCAAAGGGATGTTTGGGGTTAAAATGGAACGGATTGAAAGGGGGCTTACGGCGCTAAGCTGTGGGTGCTGGGTTTTAGGAGCTCATCTTGGGGTGAGAGGGATGGGTTTAAGGGGAGTTTGTGGATGGAGAGGTTTATGGTGAAAGGTGGTTTCAGGGTTTATGGATGTAAGGGGGAAGAGGAGTGTTGGGGGGTGTAAGGGCTGAGAGATGGGTGCACACGGGATTTGTGAAGGATGGACAACTAAATGGATCAGTGGTATGTATGAGGCTGGGAAGTTCTGGGGGCAGGTAATGGAGAATGAGTTGTGGGAAATGGGACTTGGGAATGAAGAGATGGTGTGATTTGATTCGGGAAGCATCCACAAAAAAGGTTAGTGGGGGGAGCTGGAGGGGGACAGAGGACCCCCTTTTTTATTAATTTGGCGAATATTTATTAGACACTGTGCGGGGCACGGAGCTGGGTGCTGACGTAGTCACTGATCTCAAGCTTATGGTTTGAGGGAGAGAAAGTAAGTAGCAAAACTAAGTATAAGTTGTGCTAAAAGCTGTAAGTAAAGAGATGGCAAGCTGTGGGAAGCCAGGAGAGGGCACAACACCTTCAGAGGCCCGAAGGTGGGAAAGGGCAGGAAGAATGTAGAGCCAGGGACGGAAAGTCCCCAGTACAGCAGAGAGTCTGGAACCAGGATCACATGGAGCCAAGTCTCAGGAAAGAGTTTGGATTTTATTTCAGTTGCAGTGGGAAAATCACAGTGGTTTTAAGACCACTGTCCCACTTAACCTCCACCCACTATTTGTCAGTGAGCCAGGATTGGTAAAATGTGCTTCACAAGGCAGCCCATTGTATTTGGGGCCTGCTTGAATTATTAGAAGGTAGCAAAGCACAGAATGACGTCCTTTTGGAGGATGAGGTCTTGTTGAATGGGACTTGTTTGGGGGTAAGGGATGGTCCCTGTGGATGGGACCAGGGTGTAGTGGTGTGGACTGTGCAGTGCCTAGAACCTTCTAGTGAGGAGGGGTTACAAAGCCAGGTGAACAGCAGCCCCAGGAAAGGAGGAGGCAAGTAAAAGGTGGATATGGCAGGCATTTACTCTTCAAACTTTCTTGCCTTTGCTTCTTGTGGAATGTCGACTCTTTCCACAGTTTCATGGCCTCTATCTGGAAAGTTAAGAGTGTCACACACACATAACCCCACCGCACACCACTGGAGCATTGTGCTAGGTGCTACAGAAACCAAGATGGCTAAGATGTTCTCTACCCTTTCAGAGCTCATTCAGAAGGAAGGTGTGTGGAAGACTTAACTCATGAACAGTCATCATAATAGGTGTGTGCTGAGTAGAGGTAATTCCTGGCACAAAAGAGCTGGGCCGGGAGAGGGTGCCCTTCTGTGATGCCTTCTCCACTAAGCCAGTGTGAGAGCAAGGGCATTGTACTTTCCTTTGTATTCCCAGGGCTGTGCACAATGCCTGGCACCTAGCGTTCAGCAAAGTTTTGTGGCACTTAGATTGTGGAAGGATTGGTAGGAGCTAGGGAAGGGGGAAAACGGGCTCTTCACACCCAGGAACCACAGAAGCAGTGCTTTGGGTGCTTGTGGAGCTACCTGTGTTCCTTCTGTTCTAGGCCAGGAGCTGCTTAAGGAGCGAACTCTGCTCAGATGTGGCCTTCCTCAGGCATGTGTCACCCTGCACTGCCCCAAGGCTACTACTTTTTTCTTGTAACAATCTCTTGAGATTCTAGACTCCCCTAGGTAGGCTTAGAATGGAATGCAGTCAGTCACCTCTTCTTGCTGTTCTCAAAGAGAGTCATTTTTCTTTTAAGGCTAAGAAACTGAGCAGGGGGTCATTACACTTGCCTTACAACGTAGCTGTTAGGTAGCTGATTCCTGGTTTCTTCCTGAGGTAGAAAGATCCCTGGAGCTTTTATTTTGAGACTTTGGAAGCTTCACATCTGCCCCACTCCTTGTGTAGCCTTTAGATAAATTCAAGGCCCTAAAAGTCACCGAAGTCCAGACACCAATCTTCAGTCCTCAAGTGGGCGTGCCACTTACTCCACTCTGGAGAAAACACAGCTTGGGTGGGTCTTTTCCTCATAGTAAACCTTGCTGCCTGGTAGATTATCAGCTTGGGCAGGGAAGCAGATTGTGTCTTTCCTGATCAGCCAACTGGGTGAGGCCTTTGTCTTCACTGGCCTTTGGCTTCACTTCAGCTGGTGAGGTCTTTCTGACCCTGCCCTCTCTCTGAAACAAGAGAGAACGGTTTCATCTCTGTGCGCTGCCGACCCCTTAAGAGCCCCTGGAGTCAATTTAGCTCAACTGGCTAGCAAGAAAAGAATTTTTCATCTCAGATTTGAGGCCTTCTCAACCTGCTTTGTCACCATGTGCTTAAAGAAGGGAAGCACACCTACTCTCCTTAAACCTGGATTCTTTCTTACACCTTTCTACGTTATTAGGAAGGCAGCTCCACATACTTGAGTGTAATTCATTTTGTTATTATAGCTGAATAATCTTCAAATAGTGAACTGTGTATTGTTCTTCCTTCTGGCTACACGGATAGTAGAGGGACACTGGGGAGTTTGGAATGCTCTGTCTTGGTTGAAATTCAGCCTACGTCAGCTGGAAATTTCCTGTGTGATAGGTAACTAGTCTTCTTGAATGATCTTCTGAACTTCTTTGGTGACACCCTGAGCTTTTCCTAGAGAGGGACAGTTTTGTGTTTTCTGAGTTGGATCTTTCACTGATCACGTTCTCATTCATTTCTTATATGGGACCAGGAAGGCAGGAAATTTTCTCTTGTTTGCCAAGGATTTTCTGAGTATGTCACTCTATCATGTGTAGCCTTAGTTTTTATAATAATAAATTTTACACACATTGAAGTTTACATAGATTTGTTTCCCTTGCTTCTTTTGAATACCTTTATGAAGGGTTTATAAGGTTATGAGACTAGGGTTGAGGACTCCTCTGTCAGGACTCTGAGGTTCCAAAGTTCTTCCCCCCTCCCAGAGTTGTTAACCAGTGTTTGAATCATTGGCCCCTTTGAAAATCTGGTGCAATCTCTGGGTCCCCTCCTAACCATGCCCCCCGACAGTGTGCTTGTGTACCACACCTTTGAGAATCCTCAGGCCTCAGGTGTCCTGGGGCCTGGAAGCTGCCCCTCGTCAGTGGTGGACTCACTTTTTTGTCTAGTCGTGAGATTCCTAACAAGTCATTGTGAAAACTCTAGAGCTGGGAAGGCTGAGGGGTGAGTTTTGGAAACCTGATTTTAAAAGGAAGCAGAACGGTCAACAGTGTCGTCCTGGAGACCTGGGCTCCAGACCTAATGTTCTGGAAGAGGCAGCTGAAGAGGACTGGCCCTTCAAGTCATTCTGCATGTTGGAACAACAGGTGGGTTGTGCTGCCAGATGGGCAGATTTAGCTGTTGTGGTCAGTTCTTGACCTTTTGCTTGCAAGGGCATGAAGATGCTCTAGAGAGCTACACTGTCCAGTGAGGTAGCCACTTGCCATGTGTCTCTGTAAATTAAAATGAATTAAAATAAACATTCAGGGGACTTCCCTGGTGGTGCAGTGTTTAAGAATCCGCCTGCCAATGCAGAGGACAGGGGTTTGATCCCTGTTCCAGGAAGATCCCACATGCTGCGGAGCAACTAAGACTGTACGCCACAACTACTGAGCCTGCGCTATAGAGCCCGCGAGCCACAACTACTGAAGCCCACATGCCCTAGAGCCTGTGCGCCACAATAACTGAGCCCACGCACCGCTACTGAAGCCCATGCTCTCTAGGGCCACTTGCCTCAACTACTGAGCCCGCGTGCTGCAACTACTGAAGCCCGCACGCCTAGAGCCTGTGCTCCGCAGCTAAAGAAGTCACAGCGGGCTTCCCTGGTGGCGCAGTGGTTGGGAGTCCGCCTGCCGATGCGGGGGATGCAGATTCGTGCCCCGGTCCGGGAGGATCCCACATGCCACGGAGCGGCTGGGCCCGTGGGCCATGGCCGCTGAGCCTGCGCGTCCGGAGCCTGTGCTCCGCAACAGGAGAGGCCACAACAGTGAGAGGCCCGCGTACTGCAAAAAAAAAAAAAAAAAAAAAAAAAGAAGTCACAGCAGTGAGAAGCCCACTCACCAAAACGAAGAGCAGCCCCTGTTCACCACAACTAGAGAAAGCCCGCGTGCAGCAACAAAGACCCAACGCAGCCACAAATAAATAAATTAATTAAATTAAACATTCAGGGACTTCCCTGGTGGTCCAGTGGGTAAGACTCTGCACTCCGAATGCAGGGGGCCCGGGTTCAATCCCTGGTCAGGGAACTAGATCCTGCATGCATGGCGCAACTAAGAAGTCCGCTTTCCACAGCTAAAGATCCTGCATGCCGCAACGAAGATCCCGCATGCCGCAGCTAAGACGGGTCAAACTAAGACACAGCCTAAGTAAATAAAGAAAGAAAGAAATGTTTTAAAAAAATAAAATTAAATCAAACATTTCATTCCTCAGTCACACTAGCTACCTCTCAAGTGCTCAGTAGCCATGTGTGGCTAGTGACTACCATATTAATGCAGGTAGAGAACATTTCCATCATTGCAGAAAATTCTGGACAGCAGTGTTCTAGAGCAATGCTTCTCTTAGCTGGACCTTTAGCAGATCTCTGCAGAAATCTTATTGCACAGGTTCTGATGTAGCAGGTCTCAGTGGGGCCCAAGAGTCCACATTTCTAACCACCTCCCAAGGGTGCCAATGCCGCTGATCTCAGACCACACTTGGAGAGGTCGGACTCTCAAGAGTAGAGATGATAGTGTGTCATTTATTTCAATTTTC